GTTGTGAACAATGTTGTTTCAAAACCAATGATGGTTGTCGTCTTCTTCTTTTGTCAGGTTTCTGCATGCTACCTCAATTATGTACAGCCTATTGCACATGTTTGAATTCAAAGAGTGGACAGCGCGCCAAAGCACAAATCCTTGCAAAATCTTGTGTTTGTCAGACCAACGCAAACAATGTTACAGAAATCATTGGACTTGCGAAATTTAACCACCAATTGAGGTTTATTTTTCACAGGGCGCAAAGGACGCACAAAAACGTCCCATTCAACCCTCCCAAACCCCACCCAACCACCACACACAAGCCTAAACGCTGATTTTGTAAGATTGGTTGGCCCCTGAATCACGAGTACTTGCCGCTAACGAGGTGGTGGTGGTGGTGGTGGTGGTCATCGTCGTCGTCGTCGTCCTCGTCGTCGTCGTCGTCGTCGTGGTCGCCGTGGTCGTCGGTGGTGGTGGTCGTCGTGTCGTCGTGGTCGTCGTGGTCGTGGTGGTGGTGGTGGTGGTGGTCGTCGTGGTGGTTGTCGTGGTCGTCGTGGTGGTCGTCGTGGTGGTTGTGGTGGTGGTCATCGTGGTGGTCATCGTCGTCGTCGTGGTCGTCGTGGTGGTCGTCGTGGTGGTTGTGGTGGTGGTCATCGTGGTGGTCGTCGTGGTCGTCGTGGTCGTTGTGGTCATCGTGGTCGTTGTGGTCGTCGTGGTCGTCGTGGTCGTCGTGGTCGTCGTGGTCGTCGTGGTTGTTGTTGTTATTGCTGTTGCTGTTGCTGTTGCTGTTGTTTGTTGTTGTTGTTGTTGTTGTTGTTTGTTGTTGTTGTTGTTGTTGTTGTTGTTGTTGTCGTTGTTGTTGTCGTTGTTGTCGTCGTGTACATACGTGCTCATTTGTTTTTCCCATCAATTGAACATATCATTGAAGCTATCTGAAAGAATGCGAACTAATCGAGTGAAACTGCAGTGAACGTTGTGAACGTCCGAGAAACTGGTTCAAGTGATTTAGACCTGTCTGTGCATGTGCAACATGACATGTCAATTTAACATGTGAAACATGTTTCTTTTCTTGGTCATTTTTCACTGGCGGGGGTAGTTAGTGTGCCATGGATATTCACGATGGTTTCTTCGGTTGCTCGGCCGATACTCCTGCCAGTGGCATGCCTGTCAACGTTGATGATGAGCCACAGGCAGATGGTGCTAGTGGCTCACTGGGAATCCTCCCAGGCGTCTCAGATGTTTACCTGGAGGTGGCGCAACCGGAAGGCCTCGGTTACTCAGCAGAGGCAACTTGTGAGGCCGATGATGAGGCGCTTGGAGATGATCTCAGAGGATACAGGAAGAGGTGGGCATGCAAAAGAAAGATGACCGCAGAAACAGAATACAGCCCATCTGTGCTCCCAGATGCATTTCCTCCTGAACCTCCAAAAGCAGGGCTGGCAAAAGTTAGCTCTAGCAGTGACGATGCCGCAGCTTTTGTGAACTCCTTTATAGATCGTATGTCTCCCTCGCAAATAGTGATGCCTTGGGAGAATGATTTCATGGCGCCAATTTTTGGCAACGAAATTGCAAGTGCGAAGCTGTCCATGCCTGCACAGTGGAGTGACACGTTTGTGGACCCCTTGAAACATGCAATGCCTGAGGCAGTTCCACAGGCTGTTCAACCCGTGGAGTTCAGTATCATGAAGTGTGTCAGGAACCTTGCAGACATGGACTTCATACAATCACGGGAGAAGCAGATGAAACAAGCTTTGTTGAAATTGAAGTGCGTGTTGGAGATCGGCTGGGAGTTCAGTGGAGTTGGGAGGCTGTGCATTGATGCTACAGGGACACCACGCGCCGACATGGAGGAGACGCTGGTGTCCATCGTGGGGACTAGATCACCATCAACAGTCATCAAGCGATGCAACGCGGTGCTGGCCTTCCAGCGTTGGTTGATAACCTGGGTGGATGCTGTGGCTTTCCCCTTCTCGGAGCAGATGGTTTGGGACTACTTGGTCCACCTGCGCAATTGCGGAGCTGCAGCAACCAAGGCGTTGTCATTCATCCAGACGCTCAGGTTCTGCCAGTACGTACTGCAGGTTGATGGAGCTGATGAGTGTGTGGCTAGCAGACGACTTGTGGGGCAGTCGGAGATTCAGGCATCCCTGAAAGGCCCAACAAAACAGGCCAGGCCATTGACGGTGACTGAAGTTCGCAAGCTGCAGAAGTTCATGGCAGACCCGTCGAATGACCTGAAAGAGAGGTTGATCTGCAGCCATCTTGTGCTGATGGTATACACAAGGAGCCGCAACAGTGACCTGGCTCATGTTCACGACATCTCTCATGATAGCACGCTCAAAGATGGGCATGATGAGTTCAGCGGCTTCATACAGTTTACAACAAGGTACCACAAATCGGCACGGTCAGTTGAGACGAAGTCACTGCTGATGCCCATCATCGCATGCGGTGAGTCTGTCGGGCCTGAGCCTTGGCTGGACATTTGGATGGCTCTCAGGAAGAAAGCCGGGTTGGCCACTTCTGGCCTTTTGGAAGGTGCCGTGATGCCCGCACCAGATGTCAGGTCAGCTGGAACGTGGGCAGTACGACCCATCTCTTGCGCAGAGACTACAAAGTTGCTGCGCGCCTTTCTGCAGTGCGATGACCCGGACTTGAAGTCGCACTCATTGAAGAGGACAGCCTTAAGCTGGGCAGCAAAAGCAGGCTTGGACAGGGAGCACCGACGCCTCCTGGGGCGGCATGCAAGTGCGGTGCAAGGATCAGATAGCATCTATGCTACCGACCTCATGGTGGACCCCGTCAGAGCCCTTGGCGCTGTGGTGAAGCTCATCAGGGAGGATCGGTTTATGCCTGATGGGGACAGAGCGAATTTCTTCCCAGAAGGGAACCCGGCCAAGCCTGATGCGCCGGTCTTCCAGCCCAGGACGCCAGGCAACTTCAAGATGCCAATGACGCCAGCAGTGGCGCCGCATGATGCACTGGAGCGGGAACTGCCTGGCCAAGAGGTCAAGGAAGAGGCGGTTGCACCCGATGGAGCTCCATGCATAACAGAAGAGATCGACCTCGTCACTACGGAGTCTGAGACCTCTACAAGTGGAGAGGAATTCGCGACATCAGAGCCTGAGGCTGAGGGCGAGCTAGAGCCGTCAGACGCCAACGTCCTAAATGAGGATGCAGATGACGCCTGGGTTCAGCACAAGAAGACCAAGGTCATCCACGCCATCGCTGGTGCAGGGAGCCTGGTGTCAGGATCGGTCTACGCCAATGGCGAGCTTGTGCAGAACAGAGCAACCAAGTGTGGGCGGCTGGCAGGTGCCAACTTTGCGGTGGTCACCACCATTGAGGACTGGACCTCGAAGTGCCGGCTCTGCTTCAAGGGCAAAAGGGACCCTTGGGCTAATTTTCGATGACCCTGGTGTGCTGCAGGAGAAAAAGCTCATGGCTTGCACCACCATTGACAAGTGTCATTTCAGCATCATCACATGTGCAACTGTCCACTCATGTCCGTTGGTTTTTCTCAGTGATGGTGCCCAACATGTGTTGGCACGTCCCATGTGGGACAACCACCTATGTTGGTGGTATTAGCACCTATGTTGGTGCAGGCCATTCCATGTGGGATGGCCCAGCTATGCATGTGCATAGCAGACGGCATGTGCCGGCAGTGCCATGTGGCACTAATCAAGACCAAGTGGTCATGATCCATGTGGTGTGGTGCAGCCTTTTTGTGGCCCTTACGTTCAGCATGTGCTTGAACATGCAAGCTGTCAGTGTGTATCAAATCTACATGTAGGTGCAGTTGTACACCTATTTTAATTTGCACTTGATTGCAACAGTATGTGCTGTTGAACATTGTTCCTTCTGTCAGTTTCAGCTACTGTGCGACTTGCATGGGTTGAATTGCATCAGGTCGGAGAACGGCATGTTTATTTTTGTTTTGCACTGACTTTGAATCTTTCGTTTGCCGGTGAACTGCAGCCATGACCTCCATAGTAGAGTCTGAAGCTCACTTCAGGAAGAGATGCCAGGAAACAGGTCTGTCTGACCGTGGGCTGGCTGCAGTGATTGCAGCAGGGTACACAAATCTGGGCCAGCTAGCATTTGCCAGCGGCCAACCTGGGCAACCTCTCAACGAGGCTGAGTTCCAGCGGTTTGCCCAAAATGTCTTGGGTGGACTAGCTACTTTGGCCGACACCAGCACTCTGAAGCGTTTGGTTTTCGAAGGGCAGACTGTCTTACTGGCCCAGCTGAGAGATCAGGTTGTGAACCCGGACGCTGCCACCACCAGAAAACTCCCTGCAATCGAGCGCAGCACCAAGATGCAGAACTTGAAAGCGCGCCTGGTGGGTGTGGTCATAGAGAAGGCGCTGGAGCCAAGCTATGCGCTGTTGGATGCGGTGGCACAGCAATGGGAGGCCAAGCAACTGGCCTACTTGTCCCCGGAGAAATGCACCTCCCGAGAATGGGAGATCACTATGTCGAAGACCTCAAAGCAGTTGTCAATTGACACTGACAAGCTGCTTGTCAAGAGCGAACAGTCAGTGCCAGACCAGCAGGTGTCAACAGAGATGCAGGTCTATGAAGCCCTACGACGCCGTGGTATAGCACTGGCATTCACGGACTCACTGACGTGGGAGGTGCATGAGCGGTACTTGCAACGTTTGTTCCAACACATGAGGAACGAGGCCCCTGAAGGGTATAGCAAGACAACGTTGCAACAGGTCCTCCGTGCTGACAGAGATGTTTTTCTGCACATGGTCCAGAGAGATGTATCGATGCGGAGGGCTCCTGACAACACCTTGCCTATGGACACCGCCATCTTGGAAGCAGTGTCGTCGTATGAGGTTGGCTTCAGCTTGATGCCGCTGCCGAAGAAGATCGAAAGGTCTGAGCCCAAAGCATCAGCAGCAGCACCGTCTTATGGAAACTGGCCGCAGGGCCGCAGGAACCCGCAGCAGCCTTACTCAAAGGGGCAAGGCAAAGCTGGAAAGGGAAAAGGTAAGACAAAGAAGGCAGCAGCAATGGTGCCCAAGGAGCTGCAAGGAAGAGACAACGTATCTCTTGATGCTCATGCCGGAGGCTTTGCTTTGAGTTCAACTTGGGCCGTTGCTCCCGGGTCCCGAATGGTGGCGAATGTGAAAGGGGCTTCCACCTTTGCATGCGACGTGGATGTCATGCACCTCATCCTGAATCTGAACACCCGAAGGAGAAGGGGTCCGCGAAGCCCAATTGACTATACAAACGCATCAACGATGCGGCAGCTGCTGGGGCCTCCTTGGCCGATTGTTTGGTCATCGAGATCTTTGCAGGAAGCTGCCGGGTTACAGCAAGCCTACGCCAGTTGGGTTTAGGCAGCAGTTTTGGTGTAGATCACCAAAGAGGTAAAAACGCCTCAGGGCCTGTGATCGTTGCAGACCTGTGCACGCCTGAAGGGGTTGCACTACTCTGGTCGTGGCTGCAGAATGAACGAGTTCTAGCAGTCTTTTTGGCGCCGCCATGTGGATCAGCCTCAAGAGCGAGACAGATACCGCTGAAGCGAAAACGTTTCGGTCATCCTGAAAGGGGACGTCATGGACCACGACCTTTGCGGGATGATGAACACCCCAATGGGCTCCCTAACCTCTCTGATACAGATAATCGTAGGGTCTCATTGGCAAATCAACTTTATTTTCTTACTGCACAGATTGTGGAATGGGCCGTTGAAAACGGAGTCATTGTATGTGTGGAAAATCCGCAGTTCAGTTTCTTTTGGACCACAACCTTTTGGCAACAAGTTGCACATCTTTTACAATATTCTGTATTTCATTCATGTCAGTATGGAAGTGCGCGACAAAAGAAGACTATGTTGGCTTTCAATGTCAGTGAATTTCATGCGATAAATGCCACCTGCAAAGGACAGAACAGCAAGCATAAGCATGCGCAATGGGTTTTTAACCGCAAGACAAAGTCTTTTGCGACAGCTGAAGAAACTGCATACCCAATGGGGTTGGCGAAGATGATTGCAATGGTCATTGTGCGTTGTCTGTTAAACCTTGGCATCAAAGGCAATCCAGAAACGTTGGAAGCTGTGCAGCCTGTGGCACTCCAAGCGTTGCAGAAGATGCGGGCTGCGACCGGCACACAATCAAGGTCTAGCCGGATTCCTGCCTTGGTGCCTACATACAAGTTGAGGTTTCGGATTGGCGGCCACTCAGACGCGCTGCCTGACGTTAATATTTTTCAAAGAGTGCGCAAGGATGTTACAATCTCCTCCTCACCAACACAGACCCTTCCAAAAGGCTCCAAACTTTTGGCACTTGCTCCGGTGGACAACCTGGTCACGGGGGATGAGATGCCTGCCCAACCGGAGATTTTCAAAGTAGGCACCCCTACCCTGGATTCGTCGTGCGTGATTCAGACATGGGGGGTGCCTTGGGAACCTGAACAATTTGTGCAGGAGGTGGTCAAAGCCGGCCATCCAATGGACATGGCGACATTCCTTCCACCAAGGTTGCAGTCCCTACTGACTAACTATGAGACAATGAGCAGCTGCGACAGGGTGGACAGCAGACTTACGGCAGTGAAGTTTTGGCTGAAGAGGGCAATGGAGCTTAAAGGTGATGAAAGTGAATTTCATAGCAACCTGGATCCAGCAGTGGCTAGTGTCCTGCGTGGAAAGCGCATTCTCTTGTGGAAACAGATGCTTGAATCAATTGAATATGAGGACATGGATGTCGTGAACGAGTTTGTGAGTGGAACAAAATTGGTGGGTGAGGCTCAATCGACAAGTTTGTGGCCGAAGAAGTTCAAGCCTGCCTCACTCACCGAAAGCGACCTGTCCCACATCGCGATGTCGCAGCGATCAGTCTTGAATTACAAATCTTTTGAATTTATGGATGATGAAACATTGAACGCCGTCTGGAATCAAACGTTGGACGAGGTTGAGGCCGGAGAGCTATCTGGCCCGTATGAGGTTGAACAGGTACCTCAGGAATATCCTTTGAGCAGGCGATTTGGCATCAAGCAATCATCAAAGGTGAGATGTGTGGATGATTTCACCCAATCCTCCATCAATGCTTGCGCTCAGACATGTGAATCGCCGAAGCCACATACAGTTGACATTTTGTGCAGCATGTGCCTGGCTTTGATGAAGGTAGCAACAAGAGATTCCACATGGGAGGCAAGGAGCTTCGATCTGAAGAGGGCGTACCGGCAGTGCGCTATCCACCCTGAGAACTCCAAGTACAGCTACATCGCGGTGGCTCATCCTGCAGAGAAGCGAATCAAATGCTTCAAAATGAAGGCGCTCCCATTCGGCAGTGTCATGTCAGTACATTCTTTTCTACGGCTGTCCCACAGCCTGTGGGCGATCATGGTTTCAATTTTTGGTGTGTTCATTTCAAATTACTTCGACGATTTTGTCGCCTTGGCCACCTCATGTGAAACGACTTCGGTCACCGCTGCTGTGACGTTAACGTTCAAGATGCTGGGGTGGATCTTCGCTGAGACCGGAGACAAAGCACCACCGTTTGCCAGCGTTGTTGCAGCTCTTGGGGTGACGATTGATGTTTCCCTTCTTCATCGTGGCCGTGTTCGGATCGACAACACTGAGAGCCGAAAAGCTGAGATCGCGGCCGCCATCGCCCAGATCCTTGATACAGGCACGTTAATCAGGCCTGATGCATTGCGTTTGAGAGGAAGGTTACAATTTGTGGCTGGTCAGATTTTTGGCCGTATTGCTAAGCGTTCATTAGCACTCATTACAAAGCATGCCTATGGTGAATGTGGCCCGACCATCTCTGACGAGACGCGTCATGCGTTGAAGCTTTTTCATCAACTGATCTTGATGGATGTGCCGAGGGAGGTTTCCTTGACAACGGGACGCTCCTGGTACATCTTTACAGACGCATGCTATGAACCGGATAATGCAGAAAAGACAGCTGGAATTGGAGCTGTGTTGGTTGATCAATTTGGCAGGTACAGAGGTTTCTTTTCAGTTTTTCTTACAGAAGATTTGCTGGCCAAGCTCAACATCACCAAGCGGAAGACCATCATTTTCGAATGTGAACTACTTGCAATTTTTGTTGCAATGACATGCTGGTCACAACACTTACAAGATTCGCAGGTGGTGGTGTGCACTGATAATGAGGGCGTAAAGGATGCGCTCATAGCTTGTCAGACCTCCAGCTACAATGCTACCCCGATTTTGGTAGCGCTCCTCCAACTTGAATTTGATTTGAAATGGAACGCTTGGTTCAGCAGAGTTCCTTCAGAATCCAATGTGGCTGACGACCCGTCGCGAGGTGAGATACAGAAACTTCTTACACAAGGTGTGCAACAATTTCAGATCAACCTTGACAGCATGTGGAATGGTCTACTGGAATTAGCTACGAGGGGTGGCTTCGACCAGCATTCCATGCCCCATGCTGTAAAAAGGTGTGACCGCAGTTTGGAGGACAGTTACAGTGAGATTAATGAAGCTATCTGAAAGAATGCGAACTAATCGAGTGAAACTGCAGTGAACGTTGTGAACGTCCGAGAAACTGGTTCAAGTGATTTAGACCTGTCTGTGCATGTGCAACATGACATGTCAATTTAACATGTGAAACATGTTTCTTTTCTTGGTCATTTTTCACTGGCCCACCCACTGTGCCACCCATGCCAGTGAAGAAGGCCGAACCCCAAGCCTGGCTTCGACCAGCATTCCATGCCCCATGCTGTAAAAAGGCGTGACCGCAGTTTGGAGGACAGTTACAGTGAGATTAAATCTTTATCTGTTTTCACGTGGTTGTGGTGTTGTAAATTTAGACATAGCAAAAAACAATGCCACACACACACACATTCAACAGTCAGTATCAAGGACAGCGGCATTTTGAATTTTGACGATTCCCATGTGTCGTTTGGTGCGAATCCAGAATGGGACCTATGCTTGGATGTGCAAAAAGTGACAAACGTACTATCAAGGCAGAAAACATGCAATGAGTTGACGTCAATCCTTCCCGGAATCAAATTGTGGTGGTTATGTTTCAAAGAAAACCTTCACAGTTTTGATAGCACAGCAAAATCAGGTCAGTGGTTCGATAGCCGCCTTTATTCAGGGCCCGGAAACATGGCGGCTGCATGGTGGAATTTCCCATTTTCATTTCCATCGTGAAAATGTAACAGCATTCGACATCAATAACTTGTATGAATACATGGAAATGTAGGCAATTTTTTTCGGCCAATTGGGTTTCATTAGGAAGTTGTTGGGTACACATGTCGAAAATGAAATTAAACAGTTCAATTCATTTGATGATGTTTCCGTGAAACCAGCCTCCATTAAAACAATGTGGATTGTAGCGGACACAAACATTGAACCACAACATCAACAGTAGACACATTATTCAACAAAATCATGATTCCTTCGGGAATAACCCTTCAGCGAGCATCATGGCAACTTTCCGCGTCGATTGCTGTGGAGTTCACATCACCCATCGAACCAGCAACATCATACGTTGGACAGCGGCATGTCTTTTTGCGATTTTGACTGTCTGTTTGCTATTCTTTCAGCGATATTTGGGGACAATTTGTTCCGTGTTGTTCATATATTTTGTTCTCTCCTTTGCTTTGAGAGCCCACGCTGATCCATTCCCGTTGCCAGTACGCATCGGTGGTGCACTCGTGATATTTCTTGCTACAGTTTTCATCACTTCCCTGCCGTGGGTCATTTACGGTGGCAAAGAGGCATGCAAGGCCTCACGTGGGACTTACAAGACCCCTTGGAACCAAGGCTTTGAGGACCACTGGTTGGATTTGAGTTTCCGTTTGGTCTTCATTTGGTTCCTTGCAATTCATGCAATTTACATCACTCTGGGAGATCATCCGCCATCTGCTCATGTCAGACAGGAAACCAGATGTGTTGTTTTTGTGTGGTTCGGCAAACTGATACAAATTGTTACCGTAGTTGTGGATTCCTGCCAAATTCCAAAGTACAATGATGATGGCAGAAAAACACTTGACTCTGCCACGGCCTATTTGACGGTGTTTGGCAATTCCACGCATTACGTGGCAGACGTGTGGTTTTTGCAACTGGTGGTCGAGCGGCTTGTAGCCTTTCAGGCTGCATACGGCGAGCCGTTGCCATGTACCCGTGTGGTTGTATGGCTCTCACGTGCCATGATTTTCATGGTGTGCACTCAGGCTTTCGGTGTCATATCACGAGTGGTTGCGTTGGGCAGTGCCGTGACACTCTCAGTAGGTGTCATTTTTTTGTCTATTTTACTTTGTAGAGCTTATGCAGTTCCTTACAAATACCTCTTGAAAGCACAGAAATTGGATGTCAATGACGCTTTGTCCGCGCAAATGAAAAAAGAGACAACCTTTGCCATGCACCTTATCTTGAAACTTCAAGTGGGCAATTTCATGGGCATCGGTGGCATGGTCTTGGCTTTCATGGCTTTTGGCATAGGTGATTATCATGTGCCGCGAGATAAGATGTGGCCGATGATCTGGGTAGTGGCTTCGAATTTGGATTCGTTGGCGATTACTGCATCCTTGGTGATGTTGTCCGGTGTGAACTTCAAATGGTGTCGACGCCGCTCAAAAGGAAATGATGGGCCCAGAGCTAGTCGGGCTGGTGGTACCTGCTGTACCAGCGATCACAGAGACTTGAAGTACCACTCTGAGTCCGCCTGGAATTTTGAGAGAACAGCAACCGGCGCTTTCAACACTACGGGGGAACAGGATAAAAGTGCTAGAGAATGGCAGGAGAAAGTAGCTGGCTTGGCAACGAGACGAGTCTCTGTGGAGGTTCTGTTGCATTTTTACCTTCAGCTGGGTCAAGAAAATGCCATGCCACATTTTGATTCAAAGAGATCAACCACCAATGACGTGGTGCGGCACATGGTGATCCCCCAGTCACGCGATGGTAACCTGGGTCGGTCTTTTGCAGAAAAGTTTGGACCCCACAAGGTCTCCATGACACCCAAGATGGTGACACACCACTGGTCCAATCGCTTCTGCGACCTGGTTGCAGCCGTCCTGGCTGATGCGCTGGGCCTCAAGCGCTGGGATCTCATTGCAGAGTGCTTGAGGTCGCCAGATGTGAGCGATGGCGAAGAATTGAAGGAGCAACTCTATGCCCATGGCGCCTTGCACTGGCAATACTGGATCTGTGCCTTTTGCATCAATCAACATGCCAGTATTTGTGGAAACTCCATGGGAGTCCTAGATACGGTGACGCAAAAGGTCTTGCCCAGCTGTGATTGTGCTACTCCTAAGTATTTGAATGACCAGCCTATCAGATGCGAGATGAACAAGTTTGATGATATGATGGCCTATTTGCATCGCGAATGCCCCAAGTTCCTGCAGGTCGTTGCCATTGACCTAGAATTCATGATCTTCTCGCGTGCTTGGTGCGTGGCAGAGCTCGTACAAGCTGATGCCAGCCATTTGGAACAGCATATGATGATCCATTCGCCCTCTGCTTTGGAGAAGAACACAGGTCAACTGAAATCCATTCAGGTCCAAAACTGCTCAGCCTCAAGGGAGGAGGACAAACTGGCCATCCTCGCCAAAATCGGGGCTCAAGATGATGTGGACAAATTCAACCAGCGTCTTCAGCAGATCCTTTTGGGCAACGGAGGTTTGTTGGCAGATTGGTTGGATGGTCAGAAACTACTGCAGGAGGTAGGTGCTATCTCAGCTAGGGCAAAAGCGCGTGTGGAGGAAGCGTCCAAAGCACAGCCCAACTTGGATGTTTCGGACCCTTGGGAAATCTAATCATATCAGATCTCATGTTTCTGTTTCATGTCATGTTGCTCTGCATTTCACGGCATGTTTCTTCAGAATCTCTGACAGGTCGTTGCTGGCTGAAGGCCAAACCGAACCATGTCCGGTATTTTTTGAAGAGTTTTAGAGGGAAATGGAGGACCTTCAAAAAGGCCTCTTATTTGTACATAGTCAAGAGCCTAAAAGGGCTTTGCGGATGTCACAACTGCCTTTTTGCTTGCCGCACCTTTCAAGGAGGATTGGGGATGCAGACAGGTAGGCTTGGTGATAAAACGTGTGCTCCTATTCTGTTCGGTGGGCATCCATCCTTTGTGGCAGTTCACCATGGATCAGACTTTGCATAGTCGCCAATGTACACACACACACATATATATACATGTATATATATACATGTATATATATATATTATATTACATTCTAGTAGTACCCGCACGAGGCGGGGCGGAAGTTGCCTTGGGGTTATGCTATAAGACCTTTCTCATCTATAGAACTTGCATGCGCCGTGCGCCAGCCAGGCCCGTGCGTGCTTGCTTTGTGCGAATCTGTCGCACTGCTGTTGTCCAAGAACATGACCTGCGCGCGACCCCGGTGCAATGCAACGCCAAGCGAACACTTTCTTCACACTTCACACTGCACTCTTCACAGCCCGCACTTCACGCTTCACACTTGCACTTCACACTCCACACGTCATCTCATCTCAAATCGTGTGAGCTCTTCTCACCTCATCCCACCTCATCTCAGCCATCTCTTCTCACATGTCACCTAAGTAAGTTCGTCTCAACTGTTTGCATATCATCGGGGCACGGATCAACCTTTCTCATCTCGTCAAAGTTCTTCTCAACTAGTCTCAGCTGTTTTGCATGCCAGAAAGCTCTTACTGTCAGAGAGAAGTCTCACTCTTGCACCAAAAAAACCCTTGGGCGCAGAAAACTTTTGCGCACAGGAGCTTGAGACACAGATGCATTTGCACAGAAAAGCCTCACAAAATACTTTGTACTACAAAGCTAGTACAAAGTATTTCTCCCAGTGCTACTTTGGAATACAAAAGCTGCACAAAGTACTCCCCAATACTACTTTGGACTGCAAAGCTTGCACAAAGCACGTCCCAGTACTACTTTGTACTAGAAAGCTTGCACAAAGCACTTCCCTGTACTACTTTGTACTACAAAGCTTGCACAAGGCACTTCACAGTACTACTTTGTACTACAAGGCTCGCACAAGGCACTTTCCAGCACTACTTTGTACTACAAAGCTTGCACAGAGTAGTTCCCAGTACTACTTTGTACTACAAAGCTTGCACAAAGCACTTCCCAGTACTACTTTGTACCACAAAGCTTGCACAAAGCACTTCCCAGTACTACTTTGTATTACAAAGCTTGCACAAAGTACTTCCCTGTATTACTTTGTATTACAAAGCTTGCACAAAGTACTTCCCAGTACTACTTTGTGCTACAAAGCTTGCGCAAAGTACTTCCCTGTATTACTTTGTATTACAAAGCTTGCGCAAAGTACTTCCCTGTATTACTTTGTATTACAAAGCTTGCACAAAGTACTTCCCAGTACTACTTTGTGCTACAAAGCTTGCGCAAAGTACGTCCCAGTATACTTTGTACTACAAAGCTTGCACAAAGCACTTCCTAGTACTACTTTGTACTACAAAGCTTGCACAAAGTACTCCCGAGTACTACTTTGTACTACAAAGCTTGCACAAAGTACGTGCCAGTACTACTTTGTACTATACGATTTTGAAACACTTTTTAAAAGGAATTTTAAAAAGGAAAATCGCCAGCGCTAAAATTGCGAAAATCTGCTGATAGATCCATATCGCAGCCTTGATGCAGCCACTCCAATACGAATTACGATGTCCAGCTGCAAAAGACTGTATTACGCATGCAGCCGTGGCACCAAGCAACATTCCTGCAGCCATTACAATGCGTTTTGCAGCATCACGTGGCAAACCCGCATGTATCTACGCACATGGCAGCAGAACATGACGACAATCATGCAGCCATTACATTGCGATCTGCAACCACTTCCCTTAGTCACCACTTCCCTCAGCCACCATCCTTCGTCACCACCGTTCATCACTTCCCTCAGCCACCATCCTTCGTCACCACCGTTCATCACTTCCCTCAGTCACCACCCTTCGTTCCCTTTGTTTATGTGATGTATTGTGATGTGATGTACTGTTATGTGATGTAAAATCTCACAATTCTATTTGTCCGTAACTCGGAAGATTGCTTCCCAACTTCCTTAGAATAGTATTAATTATATTTATAGAGATGCTAGAAACTATGTCCATTGATCTGTAGATGGAATCGATTCTGTCATGGTGCCTGTCTTTTGTTTCTCTCTTTATCGTGCGTGTGTTTTGCTTCCTTCGATTTTTGTGCTCACCTCAAGCCAACCAGCAGAATGATCCACTTTACCTGTCCACTGGTCTATGTATCTCCATACACAGTACATGTTTCTATCTATTTGTTCGACACTATAGTTATTCTTTGAAGATAGTCAGTGTATCTTCCTATTTCTCCTATTTCTTCTATCCAGATGCATCCATTGGACGACATTGCTACTAGTGGGACATTTCTCTTTTGCATGACCAAATTGTTTTGTGCAAATTTGCAAAGTGCGAAAGGTGCTGACTGTGGAACATGGCTTCAAAGTACAAACTCTGGTAGATACAATATAAACCACATGCAGCAGTTTGTGTTTGGGGCTTGTCATGGGTCAGGTTACATCTCATGTTTTCCAAGAAATACACACATTCATTCACCTGAAGATGACATCAGAAAATACGTGCAGCACTTCCCAACAATTGCAAAAACGGCCTGGTTACTCAACACGATCATGATTTCCTTCGGAAATACCCCATGGCAACTTTCCGCGTCGATTGCTGTGGAGTTCACATCACCCATCGAACCAGCAACATCATACGTTGGACAGCGGCATGTCTTTTTGCGATTTTGACTGTCTGTTTGCTATTCTTTCAGCGATATTTGGGGACAATTTGTTCCGTGTTGTTCATATATTTTGTTCTCTCCTTTGCTTTGAGAGCCCACGCTGATCCATTCCCGTTGCCAGTACGCATCGGTGGTGCACTCGTGATATTTTTTGGTACAGTTTTCATCACTTCCCTGCCGTGGGTCATTTACGGTGGCAAAGAGGCATGCAAGGCCTCACGTGGGACTTACAAGACCCCTTGGAACCAAGGCTTTGAGGACCACTGGTTGGATTTGAGTTTCCGTTTGGTCTTCATTTGGTTCCTTGCAATTCATGCAATTTACATCACTCTGGGAGATCATCCACCATCTGCTCATGTCAGACAAGAAACCAGATGTGTTGTTTTTGTGTGGTTCGGCAAACTGATACATATCATCACCATCACTGCGGACTCCTGCCAAATTCCAGAGTACAATGACGATGGCATTCGACCAGTGGATGCGAACATAGCTTACTTCTCCGTTTTTGGCTTGGCCACGCACTATGTTGCAGACGTGTGGTTTTTACAACTGGTGGTTGAGCGGCTTGTAGCCTTTCAGGCTGCATACGGGGAGCCTTTGCCAGGTATTTGCGTGATTGTGTGGCTTTCACGTTTCATGATTTTCATGGTGACAATGCAATCTTTTGGTGTTGTATCCCGTGTCATGGCGCTGGGCAATGCCATCACACTCTCAGTGGGTGTTGCTTTTTTATTGATTTTACTCTTCAGAGCTTATGCAGTGCCTTACAAGTACCTCTTGAAAGCACAGAAACTGAATGTCAATGACGCTTTGTCCGCGCAAATGAAAAAAGAGACGACCTTTGCCATGCGCATCATTCGGAGGTCCCAGATGGTTTTTTTTTTGGGAAGTGGTGGCATGATCTTAGCATTTCTGGCGTTTGGTTTGGATTTTTTTGTTTGGCCTCGAGATCAGATGTGGTCAATGATTTATGTCGTCGCCTCGAACTTGGATTCGTTGGCGATTACTGCGTCCTTGGTGATGTTGTCCGGTGTGAACTTCAAATGGTGTCGACGCCGCTCAAAAGGAAATGATGGGCCCGGAGCTAGTCGGGCTGGTGGTACCTGCTGTACCAGCGATCACGGAGACTTGAAGTACCACTCTGAGTCCGCCTGGAATTTTGAGAGAACAGCAACCCGCGCTTTCAACACTACGAGGGAACAGGATAAAAGTGCTAGAGAATGGCAGGAGAAAGTAGCTGGCTTGGCAACGAGACGAGTCTCTGTGGAGGTTCTGTTGCATTTTTACCTTCAGCTGGGTCAAGAAAATGCCATGCCACATTTTGATTCAAAGAGATCAACCACCAATGACGTGGTGCGGCACATGGTGATCCCCCAGTCACGCGATGGTAACCTGGGTCGGTCTTTTGCAGAAAAGTTTGGACCCCACAAGGTCTCCATGACACCCAAGATGGTGACACACCACTGGTCCAATCGCTTCTGCGACCTGGTTGCAGCCGTCCTGGCTGATGCGCTGGGCCTCAAGCGCTGGGATCTCATTGCAGAGCGCTTGAGGTCGCCAGATGTGAGCGATGGCGAAGAATTGAAGGAGCAACTCTATGCCCATGGCGCCTTGCACTGGCAATACTGGATCTGTGCCTTTTGCATCAATCAACATGCCAGTATTTGTGGAAACTCCATGGGAGTCCTAGATACGGTGACGCAAAAGGTCTTGCCCAGCTGTGATTGTGCTACTCCTAAGTATTTGAATGACCAGCCTATCAGATGCGAGATGAACAAGTTTGATGATATGATGGCCTATTTGCATCGCGAATGCCCCAAGTTCCTGCAGGTCGTTGCCATTGACTTAGAATTCATGATCTTCTCGCGTGCTTGGTGCGTGGCAGAGCTCGTACAAGCTGATGCCAGCCATTTGGAACAGCATATGATGATCCATTCGCCCTCTGCTTTGGAGAAGAACACAGGTCAACTGAAATCCATTCAGGTCCAAAACTGCTCAGCCTCAAGGGAGGAGGACAAACTGGCCATCCTCGCCAAAATCGGGGCTCAAGATGATGTGGACAAATTCAACCAGCGTCTTCAGCAGATCCTTTTGGGCAACGGAGGTTTGTTGGCAGATTGGTTGGATGGTCAGAAACTACTGCAGGAGGTAGGTGCTATCTCAGCTAGGGCAAAAGCGCGTGTGGAGGAAGCGTCCAAAGCACAGCCCAACTTGGATGTTTCGGACCCTTGGGAAATCTAATCATATCAGATCTCATGTTTCATGTTGCTGGAGACAATGTCATGTAGAGGATGGAATGAAGAGTCCAATCTGTTTTAAGAGCCGTGCAGGCATGTGGAGGACCTTCAAAAGGGCCTCTCTTCAACCATGCCAAACCATGTACATAAGACCCCAAAGGGCGTTCCCCATACTCCTGCTTTTTTGCTGGCCGTGCCTTTTAAGGAGGATCTCGGTTGCAGACACGTGCAGGTTTAGTGAGAAAAGAGTTGTGCTAAGTTGTGCTACTTCTCTGCTGTTCATGAGACTTTCATGATCCAGTGCATGTGCTCAGCCTTGGACCGTGAAGTTTCCTGATGGAAACGATCCTGTATTACCGCAGCTGCATGCTGCAAGAGGCTGGGTGCTTAATTTTCGCTTGAGATTTGACTATCCAACTCTGAAATTTCAGGAAAGCCAGCGAATTTTTCTAAACAGACAGCGCGTTTCTTTTGTTTCCAGACATAATCTGGTGAGGCACACAGTCTTTCCTTTTTTGTGTGGAGGTCAGAACAAGCAGTCCAGCATCTTTTGACAATTTGTTTTTGCAGATCTTTGCAGGGCCGACTTTTCTTGGCATTTTGACCCATGGCCATGGCTGAAATACATCTCCACAAAGCCAGTCCGGCATGAAAGGTGGCAACATGGCAAGAAGTTATCTTGTCCATCTTGGAGTTTTTGTCAGCTTTTGCCCGTATCCTTGCCCATGTCCTCTAACTCAATATGAATGACATGATTGAAATGAAATATGGGATAGGCAAATCACTCTAGTCACTCTGTTCGCCTTCTGTTTTTTTGTGCTGATGGATCTGAAACTAACAATGTCCATCATCTTGCCATCAATTGCATGTTCCAAGAGTGAAACTGCAGCCGAACTCTCTTTGATTCTCAGCTATGGATTTTTCCCAGCGGTTATCTCCCAGCTTCCCGAGTGGTGCAAGGACGGCAAATTTTTGGTACAAGAGAAGACGGTCTGCTACACACTACCTTCTCATCTCCTTGTCACTATTATGACTAATGTAGATTATCAGGGAATTCCTCCGTAATGACATGTACTGTCAGCGCTTCAGCAGGTAAAGCGTGAAGATTGTGATCGTTACATCGGGTCTGCCCAACATGTGTGAAGAACAGAAGCGTGCATGATCCTCCTTAAAAAAGATAGAACAGCTCCCTTGTTGACTTTATTCCTACTCAATCTTCAAATCCTACTTAATTAGAGGCAATGAAGTGACTTGCGGACTGTAGCCATTTTTGCGTGTTTGATGTGTTGCTGCGAAGTGACCTGCAAGTTTAACTTCTGTGATTTTGCAAGGATCCCGTTCATTTTCATGTTTGTGTGGGCCAACTCCCCAGTTTGACAGGCGAGGTCCCTTGGGTGGAGGTTGTGAACGTCACACAGAGTGCCTCAGTCATGGAAGCACCACTATAGGAAACTGTCTCGATTTTGGGTGCAGCCTTGCCTCGCCTGCTCTTCTCGGGACGTGGATGTTGACTCTTTATCATGTGTAGCAGAAGAGATTCCACACTCAAACATTCCCTTGTCAGATGAGACAAATCATTTGTGGGATCTCACAGGCATATGCGCATGTTTTGCGCGAGAAGCTGCAAATTCTGCGAGCAGCCTGAGGTGAGAATTCCCAGTCATGGTCGGGCAGTCAGGGCGGTCAGGGCAGTCAGGGTTGTTCTTGTCGATTTCTCTGGCAGGCCGCCTTGCAGATGGCACAGGTGGGATGAGGAAGAGGGATGGTTGAGTCCTTGTGGATGTTTTTTTTTGGGCTTTCCATTCTTTGAGGAAATACCAAAACACTCACTTCTTCAAAACCAGGTCCAAATTGCGAACCGAGTCGTTAATGTTTTTACTTCCTGAGGCTGGCGACTGTGTGATGGGTTGAGGTATTATCTTATCTTCTAGATGGCTTTGCTTGTTGCAGGGACGTCAATGTGCATGCCTGGTAAACAGCAAAGCTAAACTACGTCCAATGAGGAATGAAGTATCAAGCTTGCAGCCTTGTTTGGGAAATTGGGCGATCGTGATTTGTGTCCCATTACTCTGCAATTGGTTCCTTCCTCTGATTTGTTCTGCTACTATCCTGCTGGGACTTTGTAAGATCCGCGGTGAGTTCATGCGAAGCACCGAATTTCCATCATACATGATGACACATATACGTGAAATTTCATGCCAAGCTTTGGTACCTTGGAATTCTTGCGGAGGCGTGCGGCGCTGGCACTTTATGGACCTGCCGGTGGTGGGATCCGTGCATTTCTGAGAACCCATGCGAAGCATTGCCCCATGTGGTACATTCAATAATATGCGTGTGTCCATGCTCTTGGCAGGAGCGAGTCTCAGTGCATAGAAGGGTCAGACCTCTAGAAGTGTGGGAGACAAAAACTTTGCTGGGTTGCACACACACACACACATAGACACCATTCATGAATTAAGGATCGCGATGACAGGGAAGTGTGGCAGAATACTGTTGCCATCTGTTGCCACTCACACAATCCTCGAGTTGATTTTGTCCGAAATGAAACGACTTGGGGATCATCACAACGAAAGAAACCTTGGCATCGTTTTCATTGGAGACTGCAGCTTTGAGTTTGTTGCTGTGTCCCCGGCCGGCAAGTTACACACATATCACCGCAGATACAGCAGCGACTTGTCAACAATTTTGCAGAAAATCATTTGTTGCAAAGACTAAAAAAAGATTACTGAAGAATATTGAAGACAACAATTCGCATGAGCAGCAAGGAGCACCGATTTGAAAACATGGAGCGACTGCAGCGTTTGTCGTTGCATTTGAAAGCCCAGCCTGTTGCAAGTGCGGAGGTGCTAGTGGGTTCCAAGGGATTCCAAGGGATGCTTCCCAGTTCGTTGGTATGTCAAGTATGTCAAGCACCCTGCGAGGTGCTGAAGAATTTTGTAGGCCTGGAGCTTGGGGTCAGCTTGGAGTATTGGTTCTTTTTGGTTCTGGTTCGGACTTTTCTTTGGAAGTTTGGAATTGGCCTTTGAAATTCTGAAAGGCTTTGGAACAGCACACTTCGCAGAGCACCAGTGACACCAGTGCCGAGGCGGAGAGTTCGTGTCTTCCAGCGCGGAAGCCACCATTGCAGTCACAAATCCTGCCACTGGTGAAGAGATTGCTCGAGTTCCTGATGGGACTGCAGCTGATGTTGACTCTCTGCTAGATTTCGCTCTGCTAGATTTCGCATTTATTTGCAACCATTCTTTACCAGATTACCCTGTCCTTGCTTCAGGATGATGAGAAATCTGGAGTCTTTGACCATTTTGGGGAGTGAAGAGTTCGACCTGCCAAACTTGAGAAAAACATGTTGTCCTCACAAAGATTTTCCAAAGATTCTCCATCAAACCAAGGGTGAAGGCAGGACGTGTTTTAGCCAAAATGCTTCGGGACTTTGGAGATCTTTGGAGCTAAGGACCTGGCAGCCACGGCTGCCCTAGCAGCTTATCCTGGCTGGCGTGACACGCCGGTACAACACTTACAACACTCAGACTTGGGGATCTCGGAGAGTTCTCAAATGTTCTCAATGAATAGCAATGTTCACTATGCTTCACTATGCTTCACTATGCTTCTAAACTGCTTCCGAGGTCAAAGCCCGTGTGGAGATCCTCTTCCGCTTCAAGAGCCTCTGTGAGGCCAATTTGGCTGAACTCACGGCGTTGGTTGTGAAGGAGATTGCCTGCCGCTGCCATTGTTTTGAGTGTGTGATGAAGAGACAGCATGAAGACAACATGAATGCACTTGTTGGGTTCTTGGCCAGGAGCACGGCAAGAACAGCGGAGAGGCAGAAGCAGAAGTGCTGAAAGGACAGCCGGGCTTGGTGGTTAGGATGATCAAAAAGCAAGTCTCCAGATTGGCCAATATTTTGAGGCAAGTCTGTCGTTCAAACTGCTATCAGAGCGCAAAGCAGAGAACTCGAGGACGCAAGACATACGGTTTCTATTTGTTCCTTTAGAGTTTGAACATGAACAATATCTCACCATGTTTCTTCGTGCTCGTATTGATTTGTTTCATTTTGATTTCATTTTGTTATTGTGGAGAGTGGGTAGGTTAGGTTGGCACAGAGCTCATTAGGAAGCATGCCAGGTTTTCCGTGATGTCCTGGGTTGAGTGCCCTGTGAGGAATGTTGTGCCCGGTAGTTTTGGCTAAGATTCAGGAGGATTTGCGCAGTGGGACTCTTGCGGAGAGCTCTTGCGTTGGCCCCGCTCGGTTTGGATGCTACTGGAGCTGCAGCCGTCACGTTGCATGCGTGCCGCCGCCTGCTTCCCACTTTGGCAAGTCAAATGATGATGTCGATTGAGTCCCGAAGGGTCTTGGGGCATTGGGGCCCGCAAAGTGCAGAACCACTCCGTTATGATACGTCGCGTTGTGTTTCTGAATTGGCCTACAAGGCGCAGGTTTCTTCCCATGTAGTGGCAGGTTGGCGACCGGGGGGCTGATTTTGAGCCGCCCCCGCCTTTGATTCCACAGCCAGGAGCAGAAGTGGCTGATCCACAGCTTCGGGGCGATGACGCAGCATCTCCAAACGGGTGGGTTGCGAACGCCAAACCGCCGACAAAAGGGAAGCCACGCTGTTTGCATGTCTTGGCTGCGCCAGGTGTTACCAAATGCGGTTGGCGATTTGGCATCACATCCCGGACACCAAAGACTTTTTTCGTGACAGGCCTCAATCAGACGATTTGGTTGATTGCGGAGCCTGCTCGGCACCGGCCAGCTTCTCAACTTTGCTCAGTGATGCAGGCGTCATGCCAGTCGAGCCAAAGTTGCCTGGTGGTCGCCGTCGGCAGCGCCATCGTGCCAGGCAATCACCGCTAGATGGGGAGGTGCCATCTGATAGTTCTAGCTGGGCCTCTTCGAGCTCGTCATCAGGCGAATCCTCTGACGGCACTGAGCTCGATGGCTTCTAGTAGCCTTTCCCTCCCCATTTCATTGGGCGCGGGGGTGGCTGGTGGGGCTTCCCTCGCGATGCCTGCCTCCCCGGCTGTGCCGGGCGAGCTGGCGGCGTGCGGCGGTCTTTCACCATTGTTTCTTTTGTTTCACCCAGATGTTTCAAGGGGGGTTGCTCAGCAGTTTTTTTTTCCTCTCCACTTTCAATTAAGTGGCCGATGTCTCATTGCGATTTGAGTTTCAGGTTATGCACATGCTGCTTAGGAGGTATGAACACGTACCCCTGTCTCATTGCGAGCATTTCTGACACACCGGTTGGTTTCCAATTTGCACAGGGGACACTGAAGGTGCTGTGCAGCATCGATGTAGCAACGAGATCAAAAGAATGCTGTTGCATGCCTGCCTAATGTGGAGAGTGGGTAGGTTAGGTTGGCACAGAGCTCATTAGGAAGCATGCCAGGTTTTCCGTGATGTCCTGGGTTGAGTGCCCTGTGAGGAATGTTGTGCCCGGTAGTTTTGGCTAAGATTCAGGAGGATTTGAATTTTGACCCGCCGGCCTCCCCTGTTCAACCTCCAAATGCCGCTGGAGCGGGTGCTTGCTGAGATTTTAACGGATTCGGCTGCGCCTCCAGCATTGAAGACATTCTTGGAAGCTGAAGGATTGACCACTTGTGCCCTCTTTTTCGATTGTGTCAAGGACATTGACGATTTGGAGGCCAAAGTAGCAGCTCGGCTCCAACCTCCCGCAACCAGCCTCCGTGACTCATCGGTCATTCGAACGGTCTGGCGCCGGGCTCGGGTGGAGGCTGAGAAGGCATTGACGGGGTCAGTGGATGCTCCGGAAGATTGGGAGATCCCATTAAACCCAACCACCAAAAATGCCTTGACTGCAAAAAGTTCAGCCGCTTACGGCACAACTTTTCGTGCCCGAAAAATGCCATGTGATTCCCTTCTCGGGCGCATCTACAGAGAGCGGGAAAAGCAGAGCTTGACAGCGTTTCCTTTGGCAAGGGTGCGTAGCCTGGCTACCTCCCCCCAAGCCAAAGAACGTCCAGACCTCAGTTTCTGTTGCATCTCGGCGCGCGGCCGTGGGGCCCGTCGGGCGTCGGGGCGGCCGCGTAGGGCGTCGGCCGCGGGGCGGGTCGCGGGGGCGTCGGGCCGCGGGGTGCTGGGTGTGTGTGTGTGTACCATCTGAACAGATGTAAAACTTCTTATTGGTTTTTTCACTAGTTTGCAGGGGGCGACAGGGTCGCTGCATGGCTGTCGCCAACGAAGCTCCATGCAGTTGACTAGGATATGGAGTCTGATCAACTCCACGTACCTGCCTTTTTTCGGACATAGCAAGGGGCCAAGCTAAGAACCCCAACCACAATATTATACAATTTGCTGCACTGTTGTCACAATCTGGAATCAATTTTGACATTTACATGCATCAGAACTTTCCTCAGATTTTCGCCGAAAACCACATCGCCGACAGTATTATGTTTTTTGATCTATTTTCGCCGAGATCATGTCGCCGACGAACTGTGGGTCCTTTTGGGAAACAATCGCCGAAACATTATTGTGGATTCTCAACATGCTGGTTAAAACTCTATGGAATCTGGTTATGACTTCGTTTGACAATATTGGATGCCCTACATCGTTTTCGTGAAGTACCTCATTTGGCTCCTTTACTAATCTAACGATCTAGGCTGGTTTGCATGTTTCAGGATTCAGTTCCTGCCGGATCATATAATGATCCATTCTTGTCTAGTGTGATTTCCATGGTGGCTCCGACATGGTGCCATGGAGCCGTTGGAGGCAACCCTCTTCAGGGTGAGTGTTGACAGACTTGAATTCGGAATTCACACATTTTAACTTAGTAATTCGTCTAAGTAAAGGGCAACAATCAGCCTTGCGGTTTTCCAGCCTTTTGAGATTGTCCCGCTGATCTTGTGGTCCCGGGGATTTCTCGCCGATGCGTTTCTTCAACTGTGAAGCTGTTCTGAATTGCCAGAAACTTTTTTATCACTGCAGCTTGCGCATTTGAAGTTCAACATGACATTCACGACAAAAGGCAACAGGCATGTCCTTTTCCTGCAGGTGTGGTCTCTTTGGTTTTTGGTGAGGTGAAACATTTTGTGCATCTAATTCGTTGGAATTTGGAAGCTGTCTTATGCCATTGCGGCACGACTTGACCACGGTCCCGGTGCAGGGAATAATTGCACGACATCTTAGGCAGTTAGGGACTGAATCCTGTATGTGATTGTTCACTTTTGTTTTCATCTACTGAAGCGATGCATCCGTGGAACCCTCCGCCAACGTCATGGCCTGTTCCACCGCAGCCTACGAACGCACCTCCGACGTGGCCGCAATCATCACAAAACGTACATCTATTTGGACATTCTTCAGCCTTGCATCCTACATGGTCTTCTTCAGCTTCGATCATGCCGTCTACATCATCCCCAACATCGTTGCCGTTTACCTCATTGTCTCCGGCTCCTCATGCAGTACCAGGCCCACAGCTCGTACCCACCATGCCTGCACCTTTGGCCTCCGAACCTACAATGGCGCACACCGCTCCTTCGACTTTCCCATCTCCTTCGGCACCCACCGCTCCACCTGCCTGGCCTTCTCCACCGACTTCATCTCCTACGTCGACTCCACCACCTACATCGACTATGCCACCGACTCCTTTGCCAAGTTCCCCTTACCCATCCCATCACATTCAACCTCCATTACAAACGAACGCATTGATGGTTTCTCCTGATGAACATCTTCCACGGCCTCCTGCAGTTAAGGCAGCTCCCAGACCTCGCTCTGACAAAAGAATGGATCGACCGCGCAGGCCAGCTTCAAAAGCCCCTTCTTCGACTACACCACCAGCACCCACGGCAGCACCGACGTCATCCGTGCCACCCGAACTGGTTGCATTGGGTTCCACTACACAACAACTTGCGGAATCGGTTCGACTTATCCAAGCTCAGCAACAGGTGATCATGGATACTCAACGGGCCCAAGAACAACGTCAGCTACTTCTCCAACAAGATGGACCTCCACCGAACCCTATTCCACCCATACCACCACCTACGCCCGTGCCACCACTGACAGCCACACCTCCACCCGCACGGAAAGCCAGACCTACCGAACCTGACGTTCCGGACCTTCGCATTATTCAAGCCCCAGCCATTGCTCCTCCTCACCCACTACCAGTTCCATCATCCCCAACACGCCGACCAAGATCTAGGACTCCACGACCACGTTCCCATCGACCTTCGGTACATTCTCATCGCCATCGCTATTCTCCTCCACGAGCAGAGCGACCTCGTTCTCCTCTCCCTCGTCATCGATCATCCACAAAACCTGACAAGGGCCGCAGAACCCCATCTCCATACAGACGACGCTCCCCACCACGACGCCGCTCTCCCGTGGTCCCTCGACGTCATCGATCTCGCCCACGTCCACGTTCCGCGACACCACGTCACAGATCCAGAGGCCGTGAAGTCATACTTCGACCAGCTGCGAACCCATCGAATCCGAACTACATCCCCACTCCCGATGTTGATGACACCTGGGGTACATGGAACGACAGTCACTACACCGACAACGACCATCACCACAATCCTCGACCCAATTCTCCTGCCAATCCACCACCAACGGAACCACCAACCAACCCACCAACCCACACTTCAGCACCACTCGGCGCGGTGTCCTTCCGAGTTCCGGACGGCGACAGTGAAAATTCTGAGTTTACAGATACAATTTCGCTCACCAAGTTTGACACGAATGACATCGACCTCGATGAAATGGTGGCGGCGGCCAATGACCCCCATAGGGTCCGTTGCCTTACTGAACTTGACCCCGATCATGTTGTTCCTCTACGCCGATCATTGACCCCGGCTATCTCGCAGCTCTTCAACCAATTTGTGGACGCGATGTTCGAAAGGTTGGCTCAACCATACCGCACCGTCAACAACCATCGTATTTACATCAAAGCAAGTCAAGCCACCGTCAGGAATATTGCCAGGGCCTTTGCACAATCCGACTTACTGGACATCGAACTCGCAAAGCAAACACAAGCCTTCTACATCGAGCCAGAGAACTTGCTGACCATCACGGTTCCCACAGGATTGAAGAAGAAACCAATCTACCGTGGCGAACACATGGGCACCTACCTGATCTACCACAAAACGAGTTGGGAATCAGTTGCCAAAATTCTTGCGGAGGACTGCATTCGCCCGGCAACTTGGACCAAAAACGAAGCCGGCGTGCCGACTCAATACCCATGTTACGGGTTCTTCGGAATGTCCTCGGAGATCGCAGACATAGACCACCTACCCGGCTATGCTGTCAAGATCTGTACCTCTCAGCTCTACAAAATAGGCAAAGGACAAAACCCATCAGGCCTAATGGCCATATGCCGCTCACCCAAATGCATCCGTGCCCTAGCTGGAGGAAATGACCAAATCCAACGCTTGTGCAACCTTGCGGGCATCGCCAAGGGCAAAGACAATGCAACGGCTATGAACTCAAGCGCCGCATCTATATGCTACGTTGCCTCCACTCACACGGTTTTCCCGGGCTTGATCACACACCAGACTACAGAGACCAATGCACCTTCGGAACCTCCTGATGATTCTGCACGTCCAGTACGACCTGACCCTTCTGCCGACGCCCCTGAACCTTCGGAGCCGGCCCCGGACGACTCTCGCGACACACCGAGCCACCGCGAAACCGCTGGCTCTGGCTCTCGGGACTATGCTCGCCGATCTTGGCACGACAATGCTTCTTGGGACAATTCAACCTACAGCCACCGAGATCGCCGATCCTCATACCAGGAAGACCACTCTCGTGACCAGCACCATGAAGGCCGACCTCGTTCTCGACATTCGACCCACTACTCTCGATCTCGTTGGTGAACTATTTACCCTTGAGAAGCACCGGAACTAGTATCGACTATTCTACGTCAGCGATACAGTGAGCCTAGTGGCCCCGCCCGATCATTTTGGAGTAACAATGCTTCTCCCGACATTCGGTATTGCCGCCACTTCTTCCTCAAAAGGTTTGTGAATCGCTGCATGCTCATATTGTTGATCCTTTCGCCGATTCGTTTTCACTTCACGTCTCACACACTGGGACCACGTATTATGTCTCACACTTTTTCAATTTCACATTACCTTTGTCTCACCTCGACATTTTCCGCAGCTTTCCTTCGGCAGTTCGAGCGCATTTTGCTCTATTATCTCGTGACCCTCGCTACATCATGGCGTCCCAAGACCTGATCTCCCAATACAGCGCGGATGTGAATGGAATTCCTCCTTCCCAGCCGGATCGCTCGCGCACACCACCTCGTCATCAACATGGATGGCACCAAGCAGTACCGGCGTTCCGTGGCCCGATGCACTATGCCATGACGACCCATCGACCCTTTTGGAACCCTTCCGGAATACCGCCTCCGCCACCTACGTCTCCATCGTTCCCAACACGCCCACCATGGACTTCACCTACGGCACCTTTCCCGCCCACGCCGCCTCCGAGCTCACAGACACTTCCCAACCACGCCAACCTTGCACCTCAACGTCACCCTTTTACACCGAGATCACCGAGACCTATGTCATCCCCAGGAGCAAGTTCCTCTGTCAACGACGGATATACATGCAGACCAATTGAAATCCCGCCAGTGGAGAACTGGAAACCGGATGTCGACTTCCACGACTCCAACAAAATCAATGGTTTGGACTTCCCTTCCAGAATTCGACAGAGCAGATTCTCCAGCTACAAAGACATTGAAGGGATGGATCCTTTACAAGTCCCACTCTGGAAGTTCTTGTACCAGGGCTTACACAATACTTGGCTTCGTCGAGTTGCATACGGAAGAGAAACCTTCGTCCTTCCTTTTGACAACATAGGCACTACAGTATTTGTGGCCGAATTGGTATCCCAACTACGCACCCGCAATGTGGATTTGGACAAACTTGCTACCTTTCGAGCTCGCTCAGCAGGCCAATGTCTCAACCAGAAGGAAGCAACTCAAAACATGGCCAAAGACGTTGCTCAACTTCTCCAATCTTGGCTCGCGGAC